CAACGCACGCTTCACCAGACTGAGGTGACATTGTCTTATAACCTCAGAGGCACACGAATTAAAAGACAGCACAGTACAGAACAAATTTGGTTTGCACATACATCGGGCCTTGGTCAGAGAGGCATGGTCACACAAACCTCACAAGTGTGACTCAGTGAGACTCAATGAGACTGCCAAATTAGCACTTTTTAAATTGGCACCAGAAGATGAGGAGAATAATACCCTCGAAGCCATTAGGCCTAATTGTCTACTAACACTCCAGAAACGCTGAAGATTATAATGTTTCTAAATCTTTTCTTACATTTATCATTACATAACACGCTTGTAGCTTTCTTGAGTTAACAATTTTTTTTCTAATCGTCACCTAGTTATAATACAAATGCAATATAATGCCAGAATGGCTTTGATTGCTTTTTGATTGCTGGTTTATGAGATTACAAAGTGATCATGTTTGAAATAATGACTGTTAAAAAACAAACCTGTCCTTCTGCAGCGGAGGCATTAAGTCAGATCTGCTGCTCATTAACAGGAATCGGTTATCGCTCTGCTGGACTGAATACATCGTGATTTCGCAGATACTTTTGGTGTTGACTTTTAGAAAAGTTGGCAGAGTAATGCATATTCACACACTGCTTCAAAAATTAATTTTCCTGTTATGGGATTCATGAAATAGAGTCATAATCTGACTATAAACAAAAATTCAGAAACTCTGCTGAACCAACTTTGTAGCCCCCAGTTCAGTTGAGGGACTGACATATTTTGTCCATGTATCTCGTTTCATGAAATATTAGACGACTGTCCTGGCAGGTGCGCTGTATTAGCATAGCAGGGTATATTTTAAACTCATTTGGGCAAACAAAGACACCTTCAGCCAGGTTTTGAGCACTGTCACCTGGTTTGGGCCTTTCTGTGCCTGCGTGGATTTCCTCTGGATACTGTGCAAGACATGCAAGCTAGTTTAACTGGCAAATCTAAATTGACCAAGCATGTAAGATAAAGTGTTAGAATCCCCTAGAATAAAGCACTCTATAAAAAAATGGTGGTCAATAAGAGAGTAGAACATGCTGTAAACATCATACTAGTAATCCAACAAGCATCGTTTACTCTTATGTTTTAATATCTCAATCAGACCAGTCCAGTAGTGACTTTCCTTTTTAGCTCTTTCAACCACTCAGGGCACCACCTGGTCCTTAAGCTGTTGTGTGCTTTAATATGTTCACCAACTAATCTCTATCTTTGTCTGTCCACTGTTTAGACCTGGACATTTAGTGTACTCCACAAGGGGGTTCTTTGCTAATTAACAGCTCACAGGAAACAATTAAATGAGCCTCTCAGTGAGACTAAAAGACTAAAAGATCTAAGAGCTAAACGCAGCTAAAACACATGAAGAGTTGACTGGAAACCAGAGATTTATGCAGTATCCCTCTCTGTGTAACGTATAACACATAAAAGGGATTGCTAATGTCGAAATGTTGTTTATTGCAACTTTAAGTTACACTTTTGAGAGGTGTTCTCAATGTGATCTGACACATAAATACAAAACGGGGTTTTTATGGCACTTATTATGTTATAATATCATCATAACACTACAGTAAGCTCAAAGCCGTCAGGCTAATGAGGACAGTTTGTTCGTAATGATCACATTTCATCTCAGTAGCTACTCTGTACAGCCAGGATCAAGCAGGATTATGTCTTGTCCATTTCTGACATTCCTCTTAATTTTGAAAGTTTTCTGCAGGTTCAGTGAGGATTTATTTAAAGCAAAAGAAACTGCATGTGGCTCTTTTGTGTGCTGTGTGTTAAACTACTATTTGCATTGTCTGCCTTTGTGGATATAGTTGTGATAGAGCAGGATGCTGCAGTGGCTGCCAGGGGCAGGACAGAGTTTATCCTCAGGAATAAACAGTGCAGAACACAATCCAAATTTGCAACTGAATGTTACAAACTGCTGAACAACTAACAGCCTTAACCTGCTTAATAACTCCCAACAAGCTAAAAGTTCTCAATCTAATTGATTCTCTTCCCTCGCTGCTTAATTCTCAGGCAAGTATTTTCATTGCCAGCACTGTAAAAGTGACTAAGGGTTTCTCCTAAATGCCATTATAGGTACTCAAAATGAGACATACAGGCTCTCAAAAGACTACAGAGAGCTGTCCTAATTGGCAGCTAGCATCTATCAATCAGCCCTGAAGGCTATAAATATCCATTTTATTGATGCAACTCTTGTGCCCTCCTTAATGTGAGTTCAAACACAGTAACCAGAAATATGGGGCAATACAATACAACCAATACAAGAAGGCTGAAAAGAGTCTAACAGTCTATATTTTCATGCTAGACACACATTAGATACTTGTGTGGGATGTTTTTGAGTGTGTAGGTGGCTTTGAGTTAAATATGCAGTAGCTTATAACTTTGCTTCCACATTAATGCACTTGGCCCTGGCTGTACATGTCCCATCCATTCCCACTCATCACATAGAAACTCCGCTCACAGGAAACATAGATAAACAGCTGTTCAAGAATTCATGATAGAAAAGTTAATGTTTGTAGTTGGAGTTCACCTGTCAGAAATTTTACAGATGTTTCTCTGACAGGGCTTCTCAACAGGAAAATGCTTTTTGTGCCTCAAGCTTGTTTTTTTCTTATTGTAGCCTCCCCTTGAGTGATTACTGGGACTAATCGGAAGTGACACTGAATGGCAGCACTGTGTGAAGTGGTCATTATACTGCTGTGTATATGACAGGTAGTGCTAACGTTGCTCACCAAATCAAGCATATCGAGCAGCCATGCTCAGCTGTTATCCCGGCAGCTGTTTTCAGTTCCAACCTACGTTAAGTGACAGCTCAGCCGATACCTTTCTATGCATCCAACTGTCAAATCTCATATGGGTCATACTATTTAAGACCATTTAACTGGCCTGTTCAGTGCAAATCACTTTGCAGCCACCTCCACCTCAGCTCATGCTATCTCAGATTTAATCGGTGTCTTAGCTGATGCCTGCCCCGTTTATTCTGCTCTCCCCGCCTATATCCTCATACAGGCAAAAGGCAGATGTGCTCCTCACAGCTACTCTCATGCATAAATGTTGGACAAACTTTTGTTTCTTCTTTTTTGAACAATTTCACTCAAAACCAGAAATGTGCAGCTACAGAAAATACAAAAAAAAGTCAGAGTTTAACCAATCTGAGGGAACACCAGAGATTTCAATCTGGGCCAAAGTGCTAGTTTTGTTGCATTTGTTCAACATACGCTTTGGAAAAAGCTGCAGTGGATTTGATACTTACTGCAGCTTTTTTGGAAATTCTAAAACAACACAATGTGTGCAGCACCGATGGCCAGTGAACCCAGCCAAATCCCGGGGTAAAGTATGCATCATGTGGCCACGGCTTTATTTCATTCTTCAAAGTGATGCTATGGAGGCACATCAAGGGGAGCAAAGAGTCACTGCTGATTTGAAGCCTCTGCCACAGCAGAGTCAGAGGCGGGAAGTGTTTGGGAGGAAAGTCTAGAGTGCACAGGGGGATGCCGCTCTGATAAAGAGTTGTGTGGGGAGGCCCCACAATCCCTTTTATATCACCATCTCACAAGCATGCAGAAAAAAGTAGCACACAAGCCAGAGGGTTGGGGTGGGGGGGAGCGGGTTGAGATCAAAGGAGGATGAAATGCTAGACAGAAATCCATGCAAACACATGAAAAGGAGGAAATATTGTAGAAAGCATCATAACATCATTCTTTTCTCCTTCCCTTTTCCCCCCCAAGCTGCTGAGTCAGTTTTTATCATCAGCCTGTTGGGTAAAGAAAGCGATGCAGTTTGACAACCGGAGTACAAAGGATTTCAACCTGCCACAGACATGTACACAAACACAGCTGCTGTGGTTCCCTCCCATGACACGGTGAGCTGAGTGCACGGGCTCCCCGAGTGCTCTGTGTCTGTGCCTTTGTGTGTCTGCGAGCAGGAGGTAGAAGGACTAATAAAGCTCTCCTGACAGGTCTACAGTAAATAAAGTTGTGACAGGTTCCCTGCTCACGTGGATCAGCTTTCTTTTATCACTCCCTATGCCACAGTATTCAATTAAAAATAGTTGCCGAAGGTGTCACACTGTATACACAGATTGTGTTTGTGTGTTTAGGCCAAGGTCAGAGACAGCTGCTGGAGTGTGTTCATTTGCTTGTTCGCATTCACTCACTCATTTACTCACTGTAAGCTGTGGCTCGGCTTTATCTGTCCGGGGTGTGGTGTGATGCTGGTGGTGGTGTGAGGGGCGGGTGTGCATGATTGGAGGGGGGTGTTGGAGCCCATCAGGCATGCAGTGCACCACAGTATTGGCCCTCGGGGTGCCCTGGGAGGGACACTTGCTCTTTTCTGACCTATTGCACAAGTAAATGTTAAATGGGGAGGGGGCGGGGTGAGAGCAGAAGGGGCTTCTCATTGACATTCCTTTTGGTTTGAACAGAAACGTGGCCAAAAAAAAAAAAGAGTTGCACCCGTGGGTGCTGTCCTATAGCCAGGGAACTCATCCCTGTTCCAAATGGCAGACAAGTCAGATGCCGTCCCCGGTGCCAAAGTCCCTCACAGCCAAAATGTAACACATGATTGGAAAGAAAAACACAATAATTTGGATCATTTATTCTGCATGTAAGCCAGTGGAAAGAAAGCCCCCCTCATGGAAGCAGCTCCAGTTTATGTGACATCCACACAAAAAGTAAGGATATCAGTATTTAGCATGAATTCTATTTAAAATAAAACACCTCTAATCCAATCCAGTAACAAAGACCCATTCAAGTGTTTCCTGTCTTCACGACATGGGCTGACAAGCATCCCTGGAATTTCTTCTTCTTTTATTAACACAAAGCTTTATGTGGGCTTGGCATGTGTGTGGTTTTATGTAGAATAGCCCTAATGCATATTTTCCAACATGTATGCTGTCGAGAGAACAACATGATGCAACCGAATGGACCAAGAGGTCAGGGAATTTAGTGAATGCTGCAGAGATCACCCACCTATAGTCGACACCACAGTTCCAACAAAATAAAAAGCCCCTGTAAAATCCCATCTTGGCCTCAGAGCGTCAGCCCGGATTCCGGCGGCGATGGCAGCCTCGTACTCCCGCAGGAAGGAGTTCAGCTCCTGCAGGCTTATGTTGAAGGTCTCACTGAAGTTGAGGAGCGTCCCGTTCCAGCGCCCGTGAGCCCGCAGCTCGGAGGGCCTCTCTATAGCCGAGAAGACCGCAGCGCCGCACAGCAGGTACACTAAAATGAGGATGGCGAGCAAAACGAAGCGGCCGTTGTCCTCGTTGAGGTGCAGGGAGCGGCAGTCTTGCAGTCGCTGGCCAGGCATCATCCAAATTTCAGCACCACTCGCGCGTCGGACAGCGACAAGCTCCACATCAGAGACGGCATTCACTCGTCTGTAGGTATCCTCTGGAAGTCACTGTCCTGCTCTGTGGCTCCACTTCTCCGGGTAACAATTCCTCTCCCGACACGTTGTCTCATTGTAGTTGTGAAGTGATATTATGTATAGCTTAAAAGCACAAAGAACGACCCCACTTGTGGATTTAAGTCCGCACATCCATCAAAGAGTTAATGCGAAAAGCCGCAGGCGCCTAGTTTCATGATACATACATTTTCCCCCCTCTCCTTGTGGCAATGCAGTTGGCGTAAAGTGGACTGCAGCTTAAATCCAACCGGGCGCGCTTCTTTTGAGCAAAAGCAAGCAGTAGTATCCACCGGGTACCCCTCCTCCGTTGCACCAAAACGATCCCCCACACAAAAGATCACAATGACGCTCGAGATTCTCTAAGTTACAAATGAGTGCGTCTAAAAAAATCACCACGTCCCTCCTTACAAGAAAAGTCTTCTGTTTCCACACAGGCTTGTTCTGCAGGAGTGCGGAGCTGTCGTCTAAACGTGGGCACTGGTGGTAGCACAGTGCATCCCATCAGCAGCGGGTGTTGTGAAATCTCTCATCGAATCCAGGGGGTGTGCGTTTGGCTGAAGATAAGCAGCATCCCCGTATGCGTCCTTAGATGGGGTAGTCTTCAGATCTCAGGATTTACATTTTCACTCCGGTGCAGACGCTATCTTTTGCCATGCGCACTGTGGCTACTCTCTAGAAACTCACTTTCAGCACAGCGGGCGCAAAAGCAGAACCAAAATTAAGCTATACCTCCTTAAACTAAACTATTCCTAACAGCTTCAGTGGAGAGTCAGAGGCACAAAAATGTAACTGTCAGAAGAAGAAAAAAACCGGTGGAAAAAGCCATACTTTCTCAATTAATCAAATATTAATGACATGCTAATTATCTCCTTAATGTTAGAAATTATGGCTTGGCGATGATGCCGATTGCAATTTCACAGATTCAAAACCGCCATATTCAGCGCACGGTGACTCAAAACACGACAAAGAAGAAATCATCACACAGGAGGCGCCAATAGCAAAACAATACTAAGCTGAAAAATATCTCCACGATTAACTGATTATCAAAATATAGAGATTTATAGATTTTTAATTAAATAAATGAAATAAACCTCGACAAAGAGGAAGTAAGCAACAATACTAAATAATGACTTTACTTATAACTTTACTTTTTTTTTAAATTCCACCGCTGGAAATAATGCAAAACAAAAAAAATATGTTATATCCAGTGTACCTATAACATAAAGTAAGAAAAAAAAACCCTAAAGATAGTCGGACATGATCTCACCCCGCTGTCATCCTTTCACTTGATCCGATTGAATAACGACCCAGAAAAAAAAGACCTGATGGTAAGATGGAGATTTAAAACGGTTGTCGTTTAAGAAAAGATGGGGTGGAGTTGGGGTTGGCGGTGGCCACATGTGCTAAAATCATCTGGCAAGAGCAGGTCAAAACTTTCTTCAGATCACGGCTGAGTAAACTTCTACAGACCCCACCAGGTTCAAATTACTCGGTTTCCTCTAGGTTCAGTTGGTCAAAATCAATGTCGACCTGGAGAGCTACTGATCCATTTAAATACCCGTGAAAATATCGACTGAGGCTTTAAAAAGACCTTATCCAACTGAAGAGGAAGGAGCCACAAACAAGCTGTCACTTCAGATGTCATAGGCTAAGCTATGTTTGATAATAAATGAAACGTGTGAATGTTGGAATGAGAGTGAGGCTAATGAGAAAGAAAAAACATATCCTGTGAGAATCAAGTCGAAAAAGTGGGCGTTGAATCGGCATTGTTGTGACAGGCAGTAGTTAATTTTCTAATGAGTTGACAGTAACGGGGTTGCATAAGGTGGCTGTATTGATCATGCTTTCTAATCTAGTTAATTGGCTTACAAATATGAAGGCAGACTGCAGAACAGAGGCACACTGCGCACAGTTATCTCTGCTCCTCTGAGTCTGTCCTTGTCAAATCCAATCTGGAGCTCAAAATGTAGGAAAGCCCAGGACGGAGATATGAAAGAAGACATCAGTGAAATATTGCGTCTTTGGCACTGGCAGGAGTCACATCCAATCATAACTCTTTGTGATATAAAAATATGTTGTCAGAAATAGGTAAAAAAAAAATCTAAAACACTGTGTAGTGGTGTAGCAACAACAGGAAAATACAGGAATATGGTGAGGAAAAAAACAAGAAGCAGCATGCTTACTTTTTGATGTTATTCCTATTCTACACCCACCAGTTTCTTTTCAGGGTCACAGGAGGGGCTGTAGACTATCCCTGCACTGACTGCTTAGAAGGCAAGGAAATCAATACAGGCATTCAGACATACAGTACAGAAGCTCATTCATACCTGCGGGTCATTTCGAGTCTCTGTTCCCCCCTGACTGTGGGTGGAAACAAGCACCTATGAAAAAGGAACTAATCCTGGGTCAGTTTGTAGGCAACAATAATATTAACTTTTGAGATACAATATGAATCATTTAGCTGATGATACTTTGTTTGAGCCGTGGCATTTAGAAGCAGTAAGCACAGGCTAAAAATATATTCACAAAAGGAGCATTCATGTAGTTCATCTCCATTTCAGATGGTGCAGTATTAAAAGTTAAAGACTAACTGATGGTTAGCAAACACACACACACATACACACACACACACTTATATATATATATAAGGATATATAGGATGGTGATGGTGATGGTTAACCAACCGGACATAGTAGTGGACAAGCAGAAGAAGATGGTCGTAGTGATAGGTGTAGCAATACCGAATGACAGCAACATCAGGAAGAAGGAACAGCAGTGGCTTGACAAGTACCAAGGGCTCAGACTACAGCTCGAGAAGATGTGGAGGGTGAAGATAACAGTGGTCCCAGTCGTAATCGGAGCACTTGGTGCAGTGACACCCAAGCTAGGCGAGTGGCTCCAGCAGATTCCAGGAACAACATCCAAGATCTCTGTCCAGAAGAACACAGTCCTAGGAATAGCTGGGATACTGCACAACTTGTGTAGATCATTCACAAGTGGCGTTTCCACACACCATGACCTCACTCTTCTCGTACATGTCCCGTACCACCCTTACATATTTCCTGGCCACCTTCCTGACTCCCTCATGCAGTACCACAATTCCTCTCTTGGCACCCTATTTTATGCTTCCTCTAGATCCACAAAGACACAGTGCAACTCCTGCTTTCTCTGTACTTCTCCATCAACACTCTCAAAGCAAATGTCGTGTGTGTGATGTTGCTTCAGCATGAAGCCATTCTGCTGCTCACTGAGCATCACCTCTTTTTTCAGACTTGTTTCAACAACTCTTTCCCATACCTTCATGACATGGCTCATCAGCTTTATCCCCTGTAGTCACTACAGCTTGTCACCCTTGTTCTTGAAAATCTGTAACAGTACATTTCTTCTCCATTTTTCAGGCATATCTTCCGTCCTTATTTGTGAGACTACAACTTCAACGCTGCAGCTATTTTACAAGGAAACCACACTGCAAAAAAGAATCCATCCATCCATCCATCCATCCATCCATCCATCCATCCATCCATCCAGCCAGCCAGCCAGCCAGCCAGCCAGCCAGTCAGCTGTTATTGATAAGCAATAACATGTGTAAATCATGTCTGACACTAATTCTTTATTGTAACTCTGGGAAGTTACTGGGGAGAAGAGCTGTATAGCAATGCTAAATAAGTGTTACCTACTTTCTTTTAGTGGTTTTTAGCTGTTAAATTTGACTACTCATTACCCAAAGCACAAGGCAAAATATATATCTGAAAACCGAAACTCATTTACATCAATTAACTGAGTCGATCCTTTAGGCTAGTTTTTTCACTGTGCGTGTGAAAAGGTAAATGTCCTCCAGCTCAGGCTCACATACCTTAAGTGGCCTATTAGAGGAATTACAGAGGGCATGTGGGGAAGACAGAAGAGAGACAATCCTTCAGAGTGCAGCAACGAGGGGCCCCGCAGTGAATAAAGATGAGGAGACAGGGAGGACACACATTCCTTTACAGTGACAAATGAAATAGGGAGCGCAGCGACTGAGGGATTTCCTCTTACCCTGCCATGCAAGGTTTCCTCCTGATAACGGAAAAAGTACAACGAATTTGTCATTTAAAAAATATTTCAAGTATTTTATTCTGTTTTTTAAACCCCTTCTTTAAAGTTTATACAGAATGGATGTGTGTATGTATTTGTCAGCTCCCAGTTACCATGCGACTATCTGTTCTGTTTGTTTTTGCTATTTTCTTTGTTGTTTTTTGGTCATTATTTTATGCCATTAAAGTGTGTTCGCTCTTTTGAACTTTAAAATAATACAGCACCACACAGAGGTCCCTTTAATGGGTAAATGTGGTTTGATGCATGCCACAGGTTCCAGCAAGTAATTTGACTGGAGAGAGGTAAAAATGTGTGCATGATAATAGTGCTGAAAGCAGAGTGGGTATATTGATTTAGATCTAGCTTGACAAATTCAATTTTCCCATGCACACCCCACTGAGATTTGAGACAAACCCTTCAGAAACCTCATTTATCACAGGGGCTTTAGAGAGATTTAATGTGATGACATGCTCCTTCAGTAGCACGTACAGTTACATTTTTGTCCATGGTCACTTTCTTTCACAGGAATAATCCAAAATAAGAGCAAACCCATTAAAAAAGATGAGAAGATGAAAATCTAATTATTAGCCTGTACAATATAGCGCTGATCTCATGCACGTATGAGTCCAATCTGCATGCAAAATGTAGGATACATGTGGGCTTGATCATTCACATCATGAATCAGGGCTTGTTTTTTGACTACTATTGTCGTCTCTGACGAGTCAACCAGTCGGTTCCACAGCTTTAATCCACTTCTTTTTGTGCTTGTGTGTGTTTTTGTGTCTGTACACGTTTGCGTGCATTCATTTTACATGAAAACCATTTCCCCACTTATCCCACTCAGGAGAATTTGCCATCAAGAATCCAATTAGATTCGCAGTCTAGCAACAATAGTTCTTCAGGAAAATCCTGAAAAGGTAAATTATTTGGAGGGAAGGTACGGCAGATTTGTGGTGGCTCACTGGGTTGCGGATCCTGAATTTCATTTTCATAAGGAAACTTACCCGCTTGGCTTCTGGGGTTCTGAACGGCTGATTGCAGTGCATCCTGTCCGACAATGCATAATTTTCCACCCTGCAGGTTTCCTGCTGCCCACACACCTCTTTTTCTTTTTAAATGTAAAGCTGTTTTGGTGTTGATACCGCTGAGAATGACTCTACAGAATTAAGGCAACAAAGAAAGTTCTGTTTGTACAAAGTTTGTACTTTGATGGAAAACAGTGAAGATTATAACTGATAGCCTCACCTTTTGCCACATCCATAATCTGGCATGTTTATCCATTTGTGTCCTTCTTCACTTTAGTGCTTTTATGCAACATATTCGTTGTAATCACTTGGCAGAACATGACAGCCTCTTTGCATGTCCTCTTAAATACCTCCAAGAGGAGCTTTTCTAGCGTATTTCTCTTGGTGAGACACTCGTGACAACAGTCCAGTCAGAACCTGGAGGCGGTCTGTTGTAAGTGCTCTAGGCTGTTGTACTTTGCCGCAGTTCTGCATTGTTATACCTCTCAAATCCACTCACCTTCAGAACAGCGCAGAGAACTCAAGGGCAGCCAAAGGAGTGAAATTACAAAAAACATATTGTAACTTTTCAACAAGATAAATGGTACAGGAGGAAGAAAGTAGACTTTGGGGATTTTTAGCCAAACACATTGCTTTTGTTTTTTTTCCAGAAAGTACTTACTAATAGAGAAAGAGACTATGCAGCTCTCAGATGACGGAGCTTATCTCTTTAAAACA